TATATCAAGACTGAAGATGTGAAGAAAAAAAAATAAAAAAGAAGTTTAAGTCAACAATGGAGTGACATTTAAGGACAAAACCAGGCCATCTGTATCCCATCTCAACGGCCAGTTTGTTCTTCAATGCATAAATGCAAAAACTTACTCAGGGAAAAACCCAAATGAGCCACTGTCTCATTTGCTGCTGTTTCTAATAAATGAAAAACCCAGGACACCCTTGCTTTCGTTGCACCAGAGTATTTTGATAACTAGGCTAATATACTCAATACTGTACTCCAAGCCGTACTAAGTCTTAATTAGTCAGGAAAAGGAGTGGCTGACTCTCATTTCCAGAAGATCCTTAAGATTAAAAAAGAGTACACAGCACCACGTCTCTGTTTGTATCTCAGTTTGCATTCAGCCTGACTGCTTAGCTTTTTCCTGCCTGTTTCACAAAAGAGGAGATTTTCTGTAAAAAAAGTTTTTCTGTCAATGCCTAGTAACTAAAAGAATAAAATACCTTCACCGATCTTAATACACGTCCCCCAGGAAGCATCAATCTAAATATGTGTCTACATTCTTCAGAGGAATTTTCTGCTCTAGCAGCCAGAGTTTAAGTCCCTTCTCTTCTCCTAATGACTCAATGCAGTCTTTTCACAACCGCCATCTCAAGCAGAACAGAATGAGCTGAGCACACGAGGAACAGTAATTTCAAGAAGAAATAATCACTACATATGTCATAATAAATAGCTCTACTTACATGCAGTGGCCCTAAGATTGTCAAAAGCATCTCAGATCAAAAAGCTGCAAAGCTGAATTACACAATCAGACCTCAGGCGCTTAAAACGAAAGTGCCTGTTTGATTATGACTGACAGGCTTACAATCAAGAGTTCACATCTCTTATAAAACAATTATTTGGCCTCATGCAGTTTGTATTATATTAAGCAGAAATGGAAGTGAAGAGCTTTCAAGCTGGAAACCTAATTATTAATTTCTTGCTATTTTTAAGAGTAAAACAAGGTTCTGATTTCTGAAGAAGGAGGCCCTGACAAGGCAGCTTGCTGTCTGTGCTTTCAGTTATCTGAAAAACCCATTTGGCTATAGATGAAATAATAGAAAGTGCTTTCTCTCCAAATACAGTTTACAGGGATTGCTTCCTGCAAGTAGTTTTCTTTTAAGTAACCTAATTATTATCAAAAGCCAGTTTGAAAAGCACAAACAACATATAAGCTGCTGGCCCTGAACTGCTCGGGAGCACAGGAATAAGAGAGGCCAAGTGCCTTCTCCCACCGGCAATCTGCTGGCATTTTTTATTTGACTCTCCTTTGCACTTTTGAATTGCTCTCCAAACCAACCTCTACCAGAAGGCTGCATTAGATCCTTTGCTTCAATGCTGGCTCAACATTTTCTGGGCACATTTACTCCTGTTACAATGAGAAGCAGAAGGAGGTAGGAAGAACATTTGCTCTTCAGACAACTTCATTTCCTCAAACACACACCATGAGCTCCAGCTATGAACACACGAAGGTCTAACCCGTAAATGGAAATGACTGCTGTCCTCAGATGCTCTCCGGAATCTCTGTTTCCATCTAAATGTAACCAGAATCCTGAGAGAAAAACCTTCACACACACTCCTTGACTACCAAAAGAAACTGTCTCCTTACACACAGAAGAGCAGTACATAAAAAGGAAACTTTCCACGTTCCTCAGGGGATGCTAATCCAAATAGCAACAGCAATTTGGGAGATTTGATTCTGCTTCATTCCAGCTTAGTTCAAAGCCAGCCTACAATGAGACAAGTAGTTCTGGGTGCCCCACAATTGCTGCAGAATCCAACCTCATTCAACACCACCATCTATGTACAATGCATGTGAGCTAATCCCAACATGTTCCCTGCCTGCTGGTAGTCATTAAGGATCCTGTGTGCGCCTGAACAGGCCTTGCTGCTACCCTGGAGGCAGTGATGGATATGTGTTATTCACTCCCAGGCCATCTGCCAGCCCATACAACTGTGCCACACCAGATTCCTCACAACCCTTCCCAAAACTGATGGCAGTGCATAAACGAAATAGTGGATAACCCTCCACAGGCCACCACGTTTCCTAGGAGCCATAAAGAAGCTGTAACCCTTGATACCACCTGCAAGTCAGAAAATAGTTTCTACTGTCCAAGTGCAAAAAAAAAGTAATCTTTGCACAACCAAAGGTCTTGTGGAAGACTGAAACACCCCACCCATAGTGCTATAGTGGCTACAGAGAGCAGGGAATAACAACCTGATCCTAGAGTTAAAACTGCCTTGCCAACCTCACCCCAGCTCTACTGACAATACATGTTAACAACCAGAAGCATGGTTGTAGCAAGACTCTGGAGGATATCGTGCCTTCCTCATACCAATTACAGCTATTCTTGAAGAAAAGACATCTTCAATATCTCTCTGAAGGCTAAGAGTTCAAAATCTACTAGTGATAATGATTCATGTGGTAAAAAAAAGAAAATCCAAAATGAAACCAACAAAACACAAAAAAAACCTCACAACCACAAAACAACCCAAACCAAAAATACTAAACAAAAGCCATGAGAATTAATGCTGAAACTTCTGAGCAATGCAAGGTCTGTTTTATTTTTGTGTAAATTTCAAAGCTGTGTTAGTATTAGTTAAAGTTGGCCCTGTGGTTGCCAGAGGTCATTCAATATACCAGTAACAAACAGAAATGAGGGCAGTATGGCTCTACAGGGAGTCTTTCTACCTCTACAAGCCATATTAAGACAGATGTGGATGAAACAAACTTGTTTGCAGAGAGCAGCTTCATTATCCCATAAAAACAGGAATATCCTATGGCTTACTGCTTACTAAAAAGAGACACAGGCCATTTGTCTGCTGATCTAACAAGCAAAATCCTCTTCTGAGCTCATGGATATTTATTAATCTGGTTCTGAGGGTTCACAACCAAGTTTGCACAGCTTACCCAGGGCACATCTGCTGACCACACGTACTCAGTCTGGAGGAAAGGCACAAACAAAATATCCATGCTCAAGTCTCCTGGAATAGGTTTGAAACGATGTAGTTTAATGTAATTTTTACAACAGGTTCTAAGGTTGCAAGTCAGGAGGTGCTACAGATCAGTTCATGCTGAATCTCAAGAAGTTACTCCATAAAACAACGATGTGGAACTCTGAAACCAGGCTGACAGAATCCAAATTCCAAATCCCATGCAACAGAGACATTCTGGTGTTTCATAGCAGCCTGTAATCTCTTCTCTAAAGAGACTGTTGTGAAGTTTCTGCAGGCTGCACGGTGAATAACTACACGAGTAAAACAGTTACTGCCCTTACCTCTCCTTCCTAACTCCTCCTAGAAGTGCCCACATCTCATTCGTGCAGCTGGTTCCAGCCTCCTGGCTAAACAGGCCAGATCAGCACAAACTGCTTTCACCTTTTGCTCCAGCCAGGCACATCCAGGCAGCTCAAAAGAGCAGCTCCACCTGCAGATCCAATGGAGCAGATCCCTCTGGCAGCCGAGCAGCGATGAGCATCTGGGAGCAGTATGATCTTCATCAGCACAGCTGGAGCCAGAGACCAACATCAGCCCACAGCCCACTCAGCCCCGACCCCAGGGACCAAAACAGCCTCACTGACAAGAAAAATGAAGGTACTTTTTCCCCTCAGCACATGTGCTTTGCACAGCTTTATGGACACATAGCTCAAGAAGTCAGAAGGTTACCAAAGTACTTTTTATGGACTTGTTTGAAGAGAACAGTAATAATTTGATAACCAGTTGTGCTTTCTGAGGATCTCATTTATGTTTTCCAAACTTGAGAGACTCGCCAGTACTGTCTACACCAGTAGCTAGCTGCAGTCTTCAAGGAGAAAGAAGAGGAAGAACTGACATTTAACACAGTCAGCTCTGACGGAGAGATGAAGAACCACTAAACAGCATTTTTATACCGGGTATCAAGAGCAATTGCAGCCTGACACATGGCCAGGTTGTGGAGTGTCACAGCATTTAATAGTAGCTTTGCTGGAGACCTCCGCACACCAAAGTCCCTGTATCACACACACCAGTATTTCGACCGTATAATCCGGACTAGGATCGCAGCTCCGCTGCGGGAGCATCACCTCCCTCCGCAGCTCTTTGAGGCAAACGCAGCAGGAACTTCATCAAACAGCACGTGAAGCCCATGTTTACCTCAAGATGTCTCCAGAGGCACTGCCTGGCCGTCAAAAAGCACAGCCTGAATTGTCAGGCTTCCCCTTTTCCTGTCAGTGATTTGTTAGAAACGGTGCGCATGTTGGACTTGACGATCTTGGAGGTCTTTTCCAACCGTAGCGACGCCACGATTCGAATACCCACAGGCGCGTTGGGACGGGGCGAATTTATATGCGATGGGATGGGAGGAATGAGCCGCCCACAGGCAGCATCCCACCGAAATGAGGGTTTGGGCTGTAACACCTCGTTCCTCTCAGGCAGCGGGCACCCCCGCACACACGCACCCCCGGAGCGGGCGCTCGCACCGGAGCCGCGGCCGCTTCCCCGCAGCGCGCACATCGCATCACGGGCGCTGCCGGGCCGGGGCCCGCCTCGCCACCCCCGAGGCACCGCGGCGGGAGGGACACCGAGCATCCTCGGAGGGGACCGAGCACCCACGGTGGGCTCGGAGCCGCGAACTGCCCCCAAAAACCCTCTTGGTCCATCCCCGCCCGACACCGCTCCCCCCATCAGCCGCTCTGAGGGGGCGCGCGCCGCGGCCGTTGGGAACAGCGCGGGCCGTGTGACGGGGGGGGGGGGGGGGCGCGGGGGTGCTGTGCCCGCTGCCCCTCACCTGGAGACGCAGTTCTCCAGCACGGAGCTCTTGCCAGCGCTCTGCCCGCCTACCACCGCGATCTGCGGCAGGTCGAGCAGGCAGTTCTGGCCCAGCGCCGCGAAGGCATCCTGCAGCCGGTTAACGAGCGGGATGAGCCCCTCCATCCCGCCGCCGCCTCCTCCGCCCGCCGCCGCTGACAGGTAACGGCCGGCGCACTGCGCATGCGCGCCTCCCTCCGCCGGCATGGGGGCGGGGCCTCCGTGGGGCGGCCACGCCCCCTCCGGTGCGGGTCCCGCCGCCGGTCCCACGATTGTCGCACGATTGTCCCAAAATCTGCTCTTCCCACCGTTGTGCCAAAGGCCCATCCACGCTCAGAGTCAAGGGGTTGGATTTATTTATAGTTCTGCACAGAAAGATGGCTGGGTGACAAATCCACAAAGCCAGCACGACAGCTGTCAGAAGTTCTTCCTTTTTGTGGACTTTATCAAACCAAAGGTGTTGATGTTTATTGGCTACAAGTTATCTAGTTCGCTTATTAATTAGTGTTCTGTCTTCTGTTGGTTAATGATCCTCTTGCATCCAGTGCTAATTAGTCTGCATGCTTAGTCTTTCTCTTAAATTAGTGGGGTTTTTTGGGACAGTGGTCTGTGAGTCAATGGTCACAATTTGCCCCTGCCAGAATTACCTCTTACCCAGCCAGAGCTGATTTCAGCACATTTGCTCAGTTTTTATTAGTAGCTTCCTTATTTTGGGTGTTCTGCCAAATATCCTTGTAGCCCCTAAATTCTGCATTCTGTGTGTCAGCTAGGAGTGGTACACCCTTCCCCCCTTCGGTAACCTCTCCCTACGTCTGAGATAACTGAAACATGTCAAGCCCTAAACCTTAACAAGGCAATTTTACCAATAAGTAATTTGTCTTTCTACTACCTGGACATCACTTAGAGCTTGCTTGCTTGTTATTTTTCACAGATTGCCCAGAGGCTGTGGAGTCTCCCTCACTGGAGATATCCCAGAACCAGCTGGACATAATCCTGCGCCTGTGCTCTGGGATGACCCTGCATGAGCTGGGAGGTTGGACCAGATGCACCCTGCTCCCTGACAACCCTACCCAATCTGTGATTCTGTTCCTGCCTGAGGACAAGGCCACCATGGTGCAGGGACCTTGGACACGAGGAGCACGGTTCACCCAGGTCTGTGTGCTGACCACGAGACCACCGTGCTGCCCCTCTCCCCTGAGAGCCCAGCCCCAGCTGGCCACTGGGAAGGGCTGTGCAATGCCCGGGCACGGGCAGGAGCTCTGCCAGGGTCAGGCACCTTCCGAGGAGGAGCTGGATCCGGCAGGGCAGGCAGCAGGTGACGGCTCAGGAGCAGGCTGGGAAGCGACATTGAGGTCCAAGCCGTGTCATTGCCACGGGTTCAATTAAAAATGCACGCTGAGGCTGAGCTAAAAGCTCAGGCACACAACAAGAGATGAGATTTAGCTGCGATTACTGGCAGCAGTCACATCATGAAAATATCCCAAAGGCAGGCTTTGGAGTCGTGCAGCGATAAAAGTTATCCTCTCTGTTCCAGCAGACACTGGCCTCGCTCAGCGTGAAAAGCAAAACAAAGGGAGCTGTGAACACCCTGCAGGCTGACGGAGACTAACGATCTGGAGGATTATCAAAGCTTCTTGGCCAGAGCTCTCAATAAGTGTAAAAAATTACAGCAGACTGACCTATAACTCTGGAAACAAGTAACGGTTTTGAATTGGCAGAAGGCAGAGACGGCTTCTCCTCCGTGCTACAGTTAGATCACAACCTCTGGGAAAGCCTTGCCATCATTTCTGTCTAGTTGGGAGCCTGGGAGTTATTGACATAATTATGCCAATTAGCAGCATGATTATTTCTTTCCCCACTCCTGGGTGAGCAAGCTGTGCCAGGAGGCACTGGAGTAGCTGCCTGGCCTTCCTCCAGCTCGTGGGTTTCTATGGAGGCTGGAAGTTGGGAAGAACATTATGAGTGTCCAGAGCACTTTGTGCTGCCCCCATGAAATAATTAAGATCCGTGGAAGAGCAGCCTGGCCGTAGGATTGTGTCTCTACAGGAGACAAATGAAGATTGAGAAAGGCACCATGCCTGGGGAGCAGCACCATGCACACCTTCAGATTGATAATCCAGGGAATTGTCCTTTCTGTGAGGTCTTTAAATTACAGCTTTGTCTGCTTCCATGATCAAAATAAAATAAATTAGAAAAATAACTAAGATTAAGAAAAGTTTGAGTTATTCCTGCAAGTCTGGAAGTTTCCAAACCAAATGTTTTGTCTGGTGAAGCAGAGTTAAAGCCGTTAAGTGCCTACATTCACCCTGCAACTCTATCACTTAAAAAAATCCACTTTCCCCCCTCAAAAAAAAAAAAAAAAAAAAAAAAAAAAAAACCCCAAAAAAAACCCAAAAAAAAGCCACAAGCAGCCAATTATAGATTTCCCACCTTCTGGGAAAAGCAGAAACAATTTCATTATGGATGCTTGTGAGAGGTTTTCCTCATAGAAGGAGAGAGGAGAGGCACCCGAGCATATCTTTAGGTCTCTGCTTTTCCTGACTGACTTCTGTGGGCAAGTTGTTCCAAATCCCCATGCAGAGCCTAGCCTGGCTTTCTGAATTTGCCAAGATTCAGAGTGGCTAACTTAAAGGAAACAGGGGTGCTACTACATCACTGCAAAGCTACTTGTAACAAATAACGCTGAAATACAAAACCTAAATCAGTGTCAGAGGGCCATGCAAGAAATTGTTCTCTGGGGGAGCAGTAAGGGTGACTCCCAGGAGCACAGAGCTGTGCTGCTCACTGGTTAACCAGATAATTACAATCTGGTTTTACCCTGCTCACTGGTTAACCAGCTAAACACAATCTGTTGTGCTCAGCTGTGCCCCTAATAATACAACACAATAAAATACAATATTTATCATTTATTTTTGCTGTCTGCCAGGCTCAGCAAGGAGAGGAAACCTCTGCCAAGCACCTTTCTTGGCATGGCAGGAAGGGTGGGTGCCCTGATCCCCAAGGTGACTCCAACAGTGTGGTCTGATGTCACATGTCACCAGCTCCAGCACAACCTGCCTGGGGCCCCCAGTCACAGCCTCTGGTGCATTTCAGATCAAGGCAGCAGACAGCAAGCTTGTCCTGCCACGACTTTCAGAGAAATATATGGCAAAAATAGCCTGGCTTCAGGGTGCAGCTGAACCCACAAACTCACACACACACTTCTCCCTGACCAGGCAGTGACGTTAACACTGAGGACATTTGGACCAGGTCCTCAGGCTGCTTCCCAAACGCACAGCAGTGTAATTCCCTTCAGGGGAAATGAGTTCTGTACAAACCAGCATTATGCCTGTGCATTTGTCAGGATAAGAGCTCAGACCTTGAAGCTGCAAAAGATGGAACTCAAGCCCATGAAAGAAAGCCAGAGTGGCTGCAGGCCTGTGATTATAGTGGCTGCAGCATTTCTCCGTGTAAAGAGGATGTGCTTTCTGCCTTCCCCCCACAGCCCGGGGCACTGCTGACTCACTGATGGCAGCACAACACAGTCCCTTCCCTGTCCCATCTCTCCTCTCTCCCGCCCTGTAACCTCCAGCTGCGTTCTTTAGTCGGGTGCATCCCGTTGCAGGGTAGAAAAAGGGCACCGTGCTGCATTGCAGCCTGCAGAGATCTTTCCCTGCAGCCCTCAGCACCCTAGGAAAGAGCTGCACTCCCTCCCTGCAGCCTGGCAGCATGCCTGCTTCCTTGGCCACAAAGCCAGACAAGCCAAGTGCTTCCCCAAGGGAAGATTCCACGCACAAAAACACTTCCCACGTGCTTCCAGCCTCTGGGAGTGGCTGTTGCAGCCCTTGTTGTGCTGGACCATGTCACACAGCATCCCCAGGCAGCGTGGCCAATGTTCTGCCCAGCTGAAGGGAATCAGCCCAGGGCTCAGTCCCTGCAGCTTTTGTTACTGCAAAATCTCTCCCAGCTGCTTGCTGTGCTTTGAGCTGATGACAGTATGTCCCTTATCCCTGCTCCCCAGAGGGAACTGGGGTGTCATTCTCTTCTCTGTTCTTCTCCAGAACAGGGACCCGGGCTGTGACACCATATGGGGTGTACATGTGGCACCCCATCAGTGCCTGCCCACAGCCACCCTGGGCCAAAAAAACCTCTCTGCATCCTTCTACCCAAGCTCAGGAAGCTCAGGGCTGACCCACCAACTCCCAGTGTCTTGCTCACTGGAGCAGCAGCAGGACATAGATGCTCTGAGAAGGGACTGGGCCAGCCCAAAGCATCCCCAGCTGGCCACAGCCTCGCATCTGAGCCGTGGGGCGAGTTACACACCCAGCTCTTTTTGTGCTGGGGAAGCCAGAAAGGAAAAAGCCAACATCTCCCTGCCAGCGGGGGTTGCTAAGTGATGGCAGAGCTTGTTTCTATCCCGCCACTGACAGCATGCTAGCCTAGGCTGCAAGGGAAGGAAGTGAGGAGTAAGGGATGTAAACATGAGTACATTGCCAAAACTCTCTACAGATTCACCCTTGCCAAACATATACATTAGCTGCGTGTTTTGGCTGCCAGCAGAGAAATGTTTACTACGTGTCAATTACTCCAGCCTTGAAGCATTTTACCTGCAGAGGAGGATTTGCAGCACTCATGAATCTGCTAGTTTTCCAGCTGAAATTAATTTCCAGACCAAAGTTGTCAGGCTGTCAGTAGCTGCAGGAACAGCTGCCATGAACTGAGATTTCATCCTTACATTGTTTCTAATAGATGGCTTTTGTTTTTCCACCAGGATGTGGCGTTATGCAGCATTTTGGAAGCACAACAGAAAGGCAGGACTGGACAAGGGAGGGATGAAGGCAGCCTTTGTATGAGCTCCTGGGGAAGAAAGGAAATGGTTTCAATAAAAAAAGGGGCACGCACACACAAACCTATGTCGTTAAGATTATGTGGAGAATTGCAAACTAAGTTAAAAATAAAGGCAGCACTGCTGATCTAGTTGAGAAATCTGCCATTGCTAAGCTAGGTGGATAATAGATATCTTTCAGAACAGTGCTCATCACAGAGGAGCTTTAGAAACTGCACGGGGGCAGGCACACTTCAGCTCCAGCTTCAGCCTCATTTCTCCCCCGTGCTGTTTTGAACTCATCACAGAAGGAGGAGAAAACACTGGAGGACAGACTGGGTGGTGACACAGAGGGCACCTAGCCAGGCTGCCAGCCTTTATCTGAGGCAGGGAGCAGGCCAGCCCTGCTCTCCTGGGCCTGGGAACCATCAAAAGCACTTATTAAAAAAGCATCTACTCCCTTTGCTTAGTTGCAGGTTATCCCAGGGAGAAAATAGGGCACCCATCTGTCCCTCTGTGGGAAGGGGAACAAGGGAGGAAACATCAGAGAAGGGATCTGAACAGAGCAGTTCCCAAAGCAGAACCTGCTGGCAAATTAAAACGAAAACACATCCCCAGCTGCTGGCAGCACAGCCCCATCTCCTGCATCGGGGCAGTGCCCACATGGTCCCCACCACTTCAGGGGGTGAGAGCCTGTGGGAAATGGATTTGTAGAAAATTCGCAAAGCCTGACTCACACAGTGTGCATCTCTATGCAAACTTTGAGACAAGAAATGCTGACTTAGAAATGCCATGGAATAGGACAGACATGGTTGAGAGATAAATGGAACTAGAAACAAATTTTAAAGAATGGTTTAGTAAATAAGACTAGATACTTCAGAGGAATAGAACTATGAAAGATGCATTGTAGTAGGACCCACGAGGGGTCATTTTAGATGATTTGCTTTAAGGCATTTACAGCATGGTGTGGCAAAAAGCTGATAGGCCAAGAAACACTTATAATGTAATTAAGAAATAATTGGCTTCTGATTGTGATGGTATGAATTATAACATCTGTATTGTCTCACCCTTCACTTGAGATTGAAAATGGAATAAAAGGTTTTAAAATGCCTCTCAGTTGCCCCATCTCTGGGTCATAAAAGGGCTTAATCAGACAAGAGCCTTTTGGGGTGTCCTTTCCCTGGCCCCATGGAGCTAGGGAACTGCAAACTCTCAGCTCGCACACTCTCACTCTGCTTTCGAAGTGGCAGAGGGTTTTCCACAGATGGAGAAGAACTGCCTCCTTCCAAGCAAGGAAGGGGGAGCCCAAACGCTGTTGGGACAGGGGCTGTGAGCTGCAGGGCTGGGAGATGGCCCAGCAGGGATGCTGAGACACAGATCCCTCCTGGAACTTCTTCTGGTGCACCGTTACCTCCCTGGGCTGTGGAGAGGTGGCTGGGGAGGGTTTGTTTTAGGAAGCAGCTCTCAGAAAGGCTGGTTCACAGGTTTCCCTCTCTCAGGCTGCCAGTGGCAGAAGGGAGCATGGAGTGAGGGTGCAGGATCAGTGGCAAAGCACGAGTTTGTCACTTTGGTACCATGTCTCAGGCTCATTTTGGCACCAGCTGTTGCAGGGGAGAAAGACAAGCCCCCAAAAATAGCTTCTGATGAATGAATGAGACCCTGCAGGTCCGTAACCAGCCAAGACACACAGGCCAGCTCCTGAATGAGCTCTCTGGGCAGAACTGGGGTGCTGTGGGAACATCCCAATGGGTATTTTCTGGCTGCCCGTTCATCCTGCAGGAAGGCTGACCTGCACTAGTTGGGTGAGTGGGTCGGTATGGCCAGGAGCCTGAGCCCAGGGCGGGGTCTCTGCTGGCCCTGGGGCAGGAGGGTTCTGAGCTCGGGAGTTTCAGTTCAGTGGCAATGGCTGGAGAGATTCAGAATGGGGGAAACACAGCGGGATGCAGTATGGGGAGGGTGAGTGGTGAGGGGGCAGTGGGGTTCAAGGGCCAGCTGCCTGCTCCCAGAACATGCCTTTGAACTGCAGAGGTGACTGTAGTTTTTCCAGGGGTGTGGTTGCTTCAGAAATAAGCCTTAGCAAATCACTGCAGGCCTCAGAGCAGCCCTGAGCACTTTATTCTCACATCTCACAGCCCACCCACACGCATCCACAAGCAGGCCCGGAGCAGGGCTGGGGCTCTGCAGAGCCACCAGGAATGCTGGAGAGGCACCATCAGAAGGAAAGGAGCTGCGCTGAAGGGGCAGAAGAGTCAGAGGAACGCTCTTCCCAAGGTGCAAAAGCAACGAGGACACACCCAAACCCCCAGTCCTGCCAGTCCCACAGCACTTCCTCACCCCAGCAGCTGAAGGCTGCCCCTTGGGCCGTGCAGCCCTGCATGGAGCTGGAGCCTCCCTCAGGAAACACCTTCCCGTGCCAGCCCCGTCCTTCCAGCGGGCCAGGCCAGGGCTGGGCGGCAGTGCCAGCCACGGGCACCTCCCCAGAGGAGCAGCAGCAGCAGCAGAGCCCCCTCAGAGGACGAGGACGGCCTGCAGCACGTCTGCCAGCGCGTAGGAGCTGTCCCAGGGCCGGCCCGGCTGCCGCAGCGCCGCCTCCAGCGCCCGTGCCCGTGCCCCCAGCTCTGCGGGGCCGCGCCGGCCCGCGGGGCCCGCCTGGCACAGCAGGATCTCGTTGACCTCCCCGTGGATGCGGCGCGCGTAGAGCAGCGGGAAGATGGCCCTGAGGGCGGCCAGGACGGACTCCTTCAGCTGGGCGTCACGGCACACCAGGTTGAGCACGAAGACTCCTGCAGCAGGGCGAGGGAGGGGAGCTCAGAGCGGCCTGAGCACCCCACTCCATCCCTGCCACCCTTGTGCCACCCTGGTGAAAACGTCTCCCTCACCGCCGTCCCCCCCTGCCCCTGCTCCATTCTCTGCTGCCACACGGGTTGTGGGTGGCCACGAGATCTGTTCTCGGGTACCTCCTACACCTTCTGCTTCCAGAAAACTCTGCTGGCCCCCTGGGATGTCCCAGCCTGTCTCAGGCCACCCACTCCATCCTGCTGTCATCACAGTGCCCACTGAAACACCCAGGTGCAGCACCCGCCAGGAGAAGGGGATGCCATGCAGCAATCCTGGCTGTAGCCACTATTCTCCGGGTTGAGAAACGGCGGCACAGCTCCAACTCCACCCAGGATTGGCCAGCCTGGCCACGGGAGCATGGCCAGATCTCCCCTCCTACCTTCTGGCTTGAGGATGGTTTTAACTTTCTGCAGAAAGGGCTTCTCCACAAAGGCTGGGGGCGGGCAGCTCATCCCCACCGTGAGGTCTTTGCTGTCCACATCAAACATGATGGCATCATACTGGGCTGATGCTGCAGGACAAAGCACAGACAGTTGTCATCCTATGGGACAGGGGTGAGCTACACACATAGGAAGGCCAAAGATGGGATGGTCAAGACACCCCTTCTGCCATGTTATGGGTGTCTTCTCTGCTGGGGTTTCTCTTTACAAGCCCTTGGTGCTGGGGGAGGCAACAAATCCTCTACAAGGGTTAGCAAGGACAGGCTGAGAGCTGCAGACACCTGGTGAGGCTGGAGCTTGTGGCACACAGCAGGAGATGGGCAGGAAGAGGAAGCAGGTGGTGACAACAGCCCAGGACTCCACTACCCAGCATGGTACCCACTGGGCTCAGTAGGGCACCTGAAATGCTCTGGGAGATGGTACCTTCAGCTGCCAGCTTGGCCACGTAGTCCAGGCCATCGGAGATGTGCACGTGCATGCGGTCACCCTGGGAGAAACCGAACCAGCGCGTGGCCACTTCCAGCATGGAGGGGTCGATCTCCACCACGGCCACGCGGGCCTGCGAGAAGTAATCATGGACGAAGAGGGGCAGGCTGCCCCCGCCGAGCCCCACCACCAGCACTGCCAGCTCTCCTGCCAACCAACAGCACCCGGTGAGCCACCAGGATGCCATAACCCCACTGCCCATCCTACCCACAGTCCCCAAACCGCTTTGGGAAAACAGTGCACGGGGCACCTTGGCCAAAAGAGCCTTTCCCCAAGGGGCTGTGGTGTGGGGACACCTGCCCCAGCACAGCCTCCCACTGCTGGCCTCGTCACCTGGGAGGGCGTCGGGGCCCCCCAGCAGGCAGAGCCCCGCAACCATGGCCTTGTGGTGCTCACAGCACAGGTAGCTCTTGTCGATGGCTCCAGGTGGCTCAGTGGGGCTGGGTTTCTTCTTGTCTTTCCTCCTCTTCTTCTGGCCTGAGTAACAGGAGACACCAGCCAGTAGGGCAAGGGGGGAGATGGAGGCGCTTTCTGGGAAAAAGCCACTGCCAGCCCTGGCCCACCCACGGTGTAAAAACACTCCCAGGGTTGCTCTGGGGCACCACAGGCAGGTCCCAGCAGGACTTCTACCTTCTTCCTGTATTGCACTCACTCTCTGTCACCCTAAAAAATCAGCCTTGGCCCCTGCCCTGCATACCTGGGAGAGGTGTGGGGGCCAAGAGCCGAGCCTCAGACTGCACCACGTTCCTGTTCTGGAGGAAGACGAGGCGGCGGAAGTAGCAGGTGCCATCTCCCTTCACGTCCTCCACGACGAACTCCCCGCTCAGGGGGCTGCTGCCACAGTGCCGCACCACCCGCACCCCGATGTCCCCTCCCACAGACAGGAAGGGCACCTGCAGGGAGGAGAGGGGCTGCTGGGAACAAGCAAAAGCTACAGGAAAAGAGCTTGGCATTCCCACTGTCCTGACTATGGCTACAGAGCCAGGACGAAGCAGACACAAGAGGAGCAGTGGGATGCCACAGGAGAGCTGGGGATCTTCACTAGATTCACTCCCACAGTGAACACAGGGAATGCAGGGGAGCAAACACAGCAAGATTTTTTGCAAGAGCTCAGATGTGTGTTGTTTGGGCAGGAAGGAGAAGACAGAAGGAACAGAAGTTAAAGCCAGAATTAAGACAGGAGGCTGGATGCTTTTAGGATTTCTGGATCTCTGCTTTTCTCAGCATGCTGGGTTTTGGAGGGCAAGGACTTCATACTGAATCCTACCACACAAGCACCTCAAATCCTGCCTCCAAGCACAGACAGCTGGAGGGAAAGCAAAAAGAAGCTGCACCTGAGGCTCGTCTCCTGCCCACCAAGGCATCCAGCCTTGCAGCGTGGTCCCCCTTGGAGAAGAGGGTTTCCCTGCTGGCAGAGAGACGGCCTGGCTCTGTTTTGGGAAGGGGGCCAGGCAGTGGGGGCTCACCTGCTGCCGGGCAGGGAGGCCCGGCGGGGCCAGCTCCATCACCTTCCCCGAGAGCTCTGCCTGGATGGCTGCCATGCCCTCGTAGCGCTGCTCCCTGTGCAGGGCCACCGTCAGCAGGCGCCCGAAGCCCGCGCTGGCTGCCAGCTGCCTCCGCCCTTCCTCCGTCCCAAAGAGCCACTCGGTCTCCCTGCCCTGTGGGACTGCAGAAGGGGCTGCCATCAGCCTGGGCTGCTCCTGGCCCTCGAGCCTCCAAGGGAAGAGCCACTGGGAATGGCAGGACATTTAAGGGAGGTAGCACTGCTTGGTTAGAGCCACTGTGACCTTCAAAAGAGCCAGGATTTCCCGTTTTGGGCAGGCTCATGCAAGAAGCTGAAAAAGCCACATCTCATTAGAAAGGGGGGTCCAACAGGCTCCTGAGCTGTCTCCAGGTTCTGCCAAGGCCCAGCTTTGCAGGGATGAAGGGAGGGAATGGTGCTGCTGGCAGAGGCCAACACATGTCTGTGAGTGCAGCCCCAGGGGTCTGGCCCTGCAAGCCAGTACACCCACAGAGAGCAGCAACGGCTTCCCAGCCACAAGGTGCTAACTTGGGTGTCACCAGCAACCAGGCAGGAATTGCAGGCAGGGCAGGCAGGGTCCCTCTGCCCAACAAGCTCTGTGCCACACATCTCCTTGCACCACCAGGCAAGTACATATCCCATGGCAAAGCCAGGACTAAAACATCACCCCAACCCCACACAGGTGGGTTATTTCCCTCTCCAGCCCCACATTCAACAGGCCCTGAAGGGCTGGCTGTTTTGCAGCTCCTAGCCAGGACAGGCACCTGACTGCAGCCTGGACAGGCTGTACTCACTGATGAAGATGGCAAAGTGATTGTCCCGGGAAGGTTTCACTGAGGGGCTGTCCACCACGTGCAGCGTGTAGCGGGGCTTCCCGCTCTCTCTGTCACACAGATCCAAGGAAACCTGCTCCCTGCAGGGGGTTTTGCTGATCTGGCTGCAGAGCAGGGCATAATGCTGCCTGTCCTTCACCGCTGCCACCAGCCGCTCCGCGCTCTCCACCCGCATGGGCTTGTCCTGCTCCTCAGGGCAGATCTCCAGGATCCGTGCTGCCGAGCCAGGCATCTTCCTGAACTTTGTCATCACATACACAAAGACCGGCAGGACAAACTGCTGCTGGTCCCCACTGCTGGCCACCTGGTGGACACGCACCACCCAGCCTTCCTGGGAGAAGTATTCCACAGCCTTCTTCAGCACGTGGGCTTGAGCCAAGGAGACGCAGAGGTAGCGCCCTCCTACCTGCAGGACCCGGCTGATCTCAGCAAACATCTGGTCTACCTTGGCTAAAGTGGCCTCTTTCTCATCGGTCAGGAGGGCATCCAGCGTGCCTTTGTCCAGGACCACTTGGAAGTGGCCATCAGGGAAGTCCATCTGGAGCATGTCCATCAGCAGGTAGCTCATCCTCAGCCTGGTGCTGGCGCTGCGCTCCCGCATCTGGCGGATCACGGCGTCGCTGACGTCGATGTTGACGATGTCCTGGCACATCCCCACGTCATACATCTGCTCGCTGAGCTCCGAGTTCCCACAGCCCACCACGAGAACCTGGGCAGCAGCACGAGAGCAGCGTGATGGTGAGAACATCCTGGAAATATCCCCCCCCCACCCCCGACCATTTTAGGAGCAAATATCAGATGTGTCTGTGAAAACCACACCCTCAGGGCCTGCAAACTCACTCTCCATGGCCTAAGATAACATATCCACAGAGAACAGTCCCATGGGCAGAGAAGTGATGCATCTGCTGCATTTTTTTGAGAAAGATGTTGGTGCTTTAACCCCCAGAGCTGCCCAGACCAGGGCCACCCAGGGGTCTCTCCTGTCCTCTTGCTAAGGCACAATGGAAGCTTCACATCATGTGTCAGACCTTACACACAGAACCAACTAGAACCAACCACTGGAAAAGACCTCTAAGAACACGGAGGCCAGGCTATGACCAAACACCACCATGCCAACCAGACCACAGCACTGAGTGCCATATCCCGCTTCTCCTTAAACATCTCCAGGGACGGTGACTCTACCACCTCCCTCTAGGCAGTCCATTCCAATGTCTAAGCGCCCTTTCTCTGAAGAAATTAATCCTCCAAATGTCCACCCTAAACCTGCCCTGGCGCAGCTCAAGCCTGTGTTCTTTCATCGTGTTGCTGGTTGCCTGGGAGGAGAAGCCAACCCCCAGCTGGCTACAACCTCCGTTCAGGGAGTTGTAGAGAGAGATAAGGTCAGTCCCGAGCCTCCTCTTCTACAGGCAAAACAACCTCAGAGCTCGCCGCGCAGGCGGAGCCCGGAGGGGACACAGCGCTGGGTACCAGCCGGGGCTCACCTTGTCGCGGGGCCGCACATACTTGTGCAGAACGGGGCAGAGCTCCGGGAAGGCGCCGTACCACTCGAAGGGCCGCTGCCCGCGCTGGCGGAAGAAGCGATCCCAGTAGCGTGCGGAGCCGAACTCGGCGGGGCTGCGGGGCAGCAGCTCCATGGCCGGGCCGGGCCGGGCCGGGCCGTGCCCCGCTCCCGCCGCGGCCCCACGTGTCCGCCGCGCTGACCGCTTCCGGCTGCGCGGTGCGGCGCGCCCGCCGCTCATTGGCTGACTCCTCCTCAGCCCGCTCCCCATTGGCCGGCGGCTCCGCCTCGGCCGCTCCCCATTGGCTGACTCCGCCCCGGCCGCTCCCCATTGGCTGCCGCTGCCCCGGCGCTGCTCCAGCGCGCAGCGGTCCCGGCGCGCCCCCGCCCGGTGCCGGTGCCGGTGCCGCTCCCGAATCACAACGGCGCAGCTTTAACAGCGCACACCCGCCGCTTTCTGCTGAAGCAACAAAAAGAGCGGAGAGCGAGGCAGCTGTGCGTTCAAAAGGAGCAGCTTTAATAGCATCCCGCAGCGGCGGGATTCTCTGCCGGCGCTGCGTGTGACATGCACAGCACCTGCCTTGGCAGGGCTTGGACTAGGAGATCTCCAGAGGTCCTCTGGACCCAGGAATTCTGTGCGGCTGTGTGGGCCCGCGGCTCGGGCGCTAGCTGGGAGCGGGGCGTGGCTCTGGCGAGGCGCTCTGAAGAAAGAAGGCAGAGAGCTCACTCAGCGCCTTGTACCGGTGTGAGATGGAATTCTTCGTTGCCTTGGGCATTTCAGCGTAGCTGCAGGAGACAGAAGCAAGTATCAGTAGCAGAGACACTACAGCACATCCCTGGAGCTCCCCTCTGCCTCCCTGCTTGGCTCAGCGGGGCATCAGTAGTGACACAACCCCTGAACTGGGGGTTTCCCATCACCCACCCTGCTCCGATCCAGGAGGACATTTCTCCCTGATGCCCTTCCTTACAGGCAAGCTCCACTGGACACCCTTGACCAAGGCTCACCTTACACAAAGAGCTGTATGTGAAACATCACTTACGTCTGGTTGTAGCCATTTGGCTGAAAGCAGGGATCCCAGCCAAAATCCCGAGGGCCCCTGGGCTCCACTATCAGTCCCTGCCATGAGAAAGCACAGAAAAACTTTAAAAGAACACCAAAAAGCACAAAAACCCTTTAAAGACTGCACTTTCCTTGCAGCACAGACAGAGACACGCTGCCATAGCTCACAGTGCAGCCACCTGCAGGGTGCTGTCACCTCCCCAGCATGTGGCCAACATCAGCAGCTCCAAACTCACGCTGTCCTATGTTGACAGTGCTCTGACCTCTCCAAATAACAGAGCTAAAAACTGTACCTGAATACAGCCCTGTGAGAGGGATATGGGGCTGAGGAGACTGGGGTAACGTGCAGAGTTCAGTGAGCACCACTGAACAAAGCACCCTCAGCACCCCCTCCCACCAGCTGCGCTCTCCCTAAGCCTCTCCCAACATTCAGCGACCCAGAGGCCACCACAAGTGTCCTCAGCAGAGCCAGTGCTGCCATCCAAGTCCCAGCAGAGCCCTCCTCCCCAGCACACAGCACCTACATGGGTCTGGCCTTTGAAGAGCCTCACTGGCTCCTCCGGGTTCCCGCTGCTGAAGGCGAAGGTGCAGAGCGCGTAGGCAGACTTGTCCTCAAAGCCAGCCAGCAGCTTGTACAGGCCTGGGGACACAGAGGGGAGCCTGGAGTCCCTGCTGCTCCCCGGGAGAGCAGCACAGCCACCCAGGCACCGATGTGCTCTACGTGGCGTTCCCACCCACCGTGGGAGGTGACAGAGCTCAGGCACCAGCATCCCTGCTGTGACTGAAGCCAGAGCCTCAGAGCCCATCTCCAGATGGGATCCCATCTCCCTGCTATGAATTTGGGAGAGGAAGCAACCCAGCACAACTAAAGCCCCTGGTGCTTGAAGGTGATTAGTACTCATGTTAAGGATTTGAACTGTGGGATCAAGGCACAGCAGGGAAGGGGAGCATTAGTGGAGAGAGGCTTGCCCTGAAGCCACAGGGAGCAGGAGATCTTCCAGGTCACACTGAGGACAAACGAGATGCTCCCACGAGCCCTGCCACCAGGCTGCAGCAGGAGCCTGGGAATCCAGGGATGGAACTACTGAGAAAAACAACATCCCGGGAAGGAGGATACATGCTGGCTCCCCCAGCATGGGTAGAGAGCCACTTCAGGGGCAAAGGAGTGGGTTACACAGAGCAGTAACATGAGGGCAGTACCTTCTGGCTTGAGTTTCTCCAGGAACCATTTTCTGAAAAGGAAGGAAAGAGGGAAGAACAATTTCTGCTATTATCTCTCAGGCATCCTTGTGACATTGTAGCTTACATTTTCATTGGCATTTGAATCCCTCTCAGTGTGCTGTAGGATCACTCATTCTGGACCACTTACCAGGAAGGACAGACTTACCACTTAAGTTGAAGGGGACACAGTGAAAACAGCAGTGGGGTATTTAATTGACTGTATCTTAGTTATTATGTATATAAATACATAATAACTTTGTTATCTTCTGGATTAAAGCTGTTCCTAGGAGAACCTGTGGGGCACTCATGGCAGAGTCCTGCTGAAAGGCTTGGTGCCTTTACTGCACAGAGCCTGCTCTTTGGACAGGTTCCCAAGCTGCCAGAGCAGGCACCACAGATTGGAACCAGAGCCAGCAGCCCAGGTCTATCTCTCCATTCCAGCTCCATGACTTCCTACAGAGCTTAAGGAGCTCAGTGCAGCCCCTGGGGTGCAGGATGAAGGGCTGGACACAGCAATCACCTCCCTGACCCCACTGCTCCTGGAGTGTGGGGTCCACCCTGCCAGCCTGTGCTCCTAACCCTGGCACGTGAAAGGGGAAACAGCCACTTACATGTAGGGTCCTGGGAGGCCCCCCAGGGCATTGAAGCACAAGCAGGTGTCCTCTACTATAACAGGTCCCTGAACCTACAGTGACAGCCCAAGAGAAGGAAAACATTAGACCTAAAGGAAGGCACTGCCTCCAAACCCATTCCCTTGCTCTGGCCCATCCTGGTGTTTCCACTTGACCTCAAAGGCAGTACACACCAGACAGACAATCAAACCCAAACTCCCCCAAGGCAGGCCAGAGAGGCTGAAGAACAGTAGGGAAGGTTTCCCACAGAGAAAAACAAGCAGAGCTGAACGTTCCCTGCCATCCTGGAGGATGAGGAAAGGGAAAGTCTGTGTTCCAGAGGCATGGCTGCAGGATACCCATCCCAGAGCCAGCTCTGGAATGTTCAGCAGACATAGAACTCTTTGTCCTGCAGCCAGCGGGCCTGGACTGAAGGAGGTTCCGTGACCTCCCGCTGCTAGAGGGACACACCAGCACAAACCAGAGCAGGCGGGTGGCGGGAGAGCAGCGAGGCCAGGACGGGCCGGTTGGGATGCCTCAGTGTCCCTGCACACCCATCCCGCCGGGAAAGGGGAAGGAGCGAGTGACCTGCCGGGCGGCTTCGCGGCACTTCTGCACCGAGATCTCGTCTGGCTCCCCCTGGTACTCGGGCACTGCGGACACGGGGATGGGGCGGTGCTGAGCACACGGCCGGGCCGGGCCGGGCCGGGCCGCCGCATCCCGCCAGGCCCTGCCCACAACTTACGGTCAATTTTCTTCGCCACCAGCGTGTAGGGAGAGGAGTCCCCGAGGATCTGCGTGACCTGCGCAGGGAGAAGGGAGTGACGAGGAGGGAGAGGGAGGGAGAGAGGCGGACCCGCCGGCCAGGCCCGGTCCCGCCGCGCTCACCTCCTCCAGTTTCTTGGCGTTGCCCGTCACGAACACGACGCTCCGCCGCGCCGGCGCCGCCATGCTGACCGCGCGCGCTGCCCCTGCGCGCCCGGCCACCAATCAGCGCCCGCGCCGCCGCGCGCCCCGCAGCGCTCGGCCAACGGGAAGCGTGCCCGCCCCGCAGCGTCCGACCAATGGGGAGGGCGTCCGCCCACGGCAGAGAGGCGGGAACTGCCGGCCCGGGTCGCCGTGGCAACCGGCCCCCTCACAGCCCGGGCCCCTCACAGCCCGGGCCCCTCACAGCCCGGGCCCCTCACAGCCCGGGCCCCTCACAGCCCGGGCCCCTCACAGCCCGGCCGGGGAGCCCGCGCTGCTCCTCCTGAGGCACAACCGGCTGTAGCTGAGGAATCCGCAGGGGGATTGTGCTCCAAGCCTTGCTGCTGATCAGCCTCCCACCTCAGCCGCGTCTCTGCACTTTCTGTCATCACATTTCCCGCGTCGGAGCGATCCGTCGTTGGTGGTTTGCTGCTGGTGGTGCCTCTCACAGCCAGAGCTGTCCCTTGGGAATGTCTGTGCCCAGGACAACCCCAGCACTGAGTGACTTGAACCTCAAACTGATCAACACCCAATTCTAGCAACCTGGGGCAGTGCACTGATGGTTGGCTTGTGCGGCTTTCCCTGCCCTGCATCTCAGGAAAACACGGGAGCAGCTGCAGCAAAATCTCCAGGCTCGAGTCAGGAGTTCTGTCCTGCAGGAACAGGTCAGTGCATGTGGGGAGCAGCCCTGGGAAGGAGCAGCAGCAGAGTCCCAGCTCTCCCACCGTGTACCAGGCCCCTCCTCACTGCCAGACCCTGCCAAAGCTCCTGCTTTGCAAGGGGACTTCTCAGGAGAATCTTCTTTCCCGCTGGGTTGCCCAGCTGCCACAGCCAGGAGGCCTCTCTGCACCCGTGTCACATCCCTGCAGCCCCCTTTCCCTCAGGCATGGGGACCTGGGGTCACACCACAGGATCACACAGCAATCCTGAGATGAGGAATGCATTGCTTTCGCCAGAGGAGCAGCAGATGGTCTGTCCTCTGCACAATACAGGAATGGGTAAAACAGACCCAAAGCTTGGGTGAAGGAGTTGTTTTTGTTGTAGAATCTCCTTCATAACATCTCCCAAGTGAAAACCAATCCCCAAGCATGCAGACACTGCTGGAAACAACATCCCTTCCCTTTCTGCTGACTGCAGTTCTCTCTGCCATCAGTCCAGGGCGGGACAGCACAAGCTGCAATATAAAACCACAATACCAAAGGAGTATGTGGAGGACTGCTCTGTACCACCCCAAGAGCAGACATTTCTAATGGTCTTTCCAGCCTTGTGGGGAAAAAAAAATCTATAAACATTTCTTAACAAATTCTATTCCTGCAATGTTTCTGACCAGGACTCCTGTGGCACCAAGGTCCTGCTGTGGATGGCAGCAGCAGCAGCAAAGGCAAGGCTGGCCTGTGGGAGAAAGGCAGAGGCACTGGCAGGGCTCTGCAGCAGCAGGAGGGAATTAACTCACTTTCCAGCTGGCAGGACATAATACCAAACAGCTCAGTGAGATCTGCAGCCCCCTGGAGACAGACTCAGTCCCTCCTCATCCTCCCT